AATCATTCGGGGGGTGGGGAGTTTTAATGGCCCCTTATAACCTATATTCTATAGTAGTGTCCATGTTGTTTTCCATTATCCCAATATAACCCGAATATATACCCTATATACTATAGTAGTAGGGGGGGTGTGGAGTTGTATTACTAGAGGAGGGGAGTGTGAGGTTTCTGGTGCAGCCTCTACGACCGGACCTGTCCATTGGAACTTCCACATGGGTAGGGTTCGGGTTTAGGAATAAATCCAACACATTTCTTTAAAGTTCATCTTTGCAAAGGCCTAGATACCTGACACATGAGAAACTCTGGCGTGGGTTTTGGAGCTTGGGTTCCAACATTTGGGGCGCTTGTTATGGTACAAAGGCGCAGGCAAAGCAAGTGCGGTGAACGGCCCACTACCTGCCACCCCGATCCAACCCCTGCAAAGGTTTACCAAGGGCCCAGCTACTGAAAGGGATGTTAGAGCTATACAGCTTGCTTTGGCACTCCCACGCTGGAACATACTTCCTAACAACACCGCACTTCCCCGTGCACCTGAAGCCCCAATAAACGCATAACCTTACAAACCTTAGCGCCCCCTCAACCCTTAAACTGAAGTTCCAAAGCCAGTACCACAAGCCATTGCTGCTGAGGACTCCTGGCAAGCCTGGCAAATCTGAACCCGTAAGATACTAGAAGATCTTCACAAATCATCAATCAGGAATCTCTAAGAACTAAGATTTATGAAAATGTATATTTTTCATGTTCCCCTTTCAAGAGACCCCTCGAACTTGCAAATCTCGAATGCGAGGCCGCCTTTCATCACCCTACTCAATCTTTTGGACGTAGAATAGGATAATAGTGGAGAATCAAAATGGAAAGCAGCATGGAAAATGGCATGGAAACTAGATTCTAGGGCTTGCAAGGATCATTCGTCCTGGAGTCCATGGCCCTTGTAGTTGACCCTACCCAAAAACCTATCCTTAAGCCCTACACCCTTAACCCTACACCCTTAACCCTAAACCCTAAAGCCTAAACCCTTAATCCCCAAACCCGAAACCCTAATCCCTTAACCCTTAAACCCAACACCCTAAACCCTAAACCAAGGACTCCATGCTGAAGTTTGGTGGCGGCGGTGGCGGCGGCCCTGCTGTTGCCGGTGGAGGAGTGGGAGCCTCAGCCCAGGACCCATCATAAGCAAGGTTTTGGGGTTTATAGGGTTTAGGGGTTTTTAGCGTTTAGGGTTTAGGATTTACAGGATTGAGGGTTTAAGGCTTCCAGGGGTCCAGCTGTGGCCTAGCATTTGGACTCGAGGGAGGCTTGCCGGCTCTGGGTTCAAGATGTAAGCTTGCGGCTCCGGGTGCTCCGAGCGCTATACATTGGATCCCAAACGTCAAGCCCCTGGAACGCCAAGTCCTCCACAGTGCACTTGGAAGTCTCAAACCTGAAATTCTAAAATCACAGATCCTCGTTATGCCGCAAATACTACAACTACAAGCCCTACAAAATCCCAAGCTCATATCTGTTGCCCTTGGAGCCTTACACCCCGCAAAGAGTCCTGGCTTCCAAATCCCTGAACCCACGAAACGGCCTGTTTCAGCAGGTAGGGTTTTGGGAGTTTTGGGGTGCACTGTACTGTAATCATAATACGGGTAGTCCTCGAAATCATGGGCCCATGTTGGTTCTTGATTATATTCATATGTAGAAGTACCAATCCTCAGACTTGAGCCTCAGCCCCTAAGCCCTAAAGACCCCTCAGCCAACGCTATTTAACGAGGCGGCTGGCGGTGGCGATGCTCCAGCTGAGAAGAAGGAAGAGAAGAAGGCTTCCGCAAGAGATGCAAATTTCAGGATCCAGATGTCAGAAAGATACAGCCACCAAGTACGCATTTCCCCTACAAACCACAAATTGTCCGAAATTGCCACTGCAGTTGGTTCTATGCTAGTCTTATGGCATTTATGACTTCACGCCTGTATAGCACGTACAACTTCATCAGAAGGGTGGATGTGGATACCCAGGTAAATCCCTCTGCAGGTAGGGTTCAGAATTTAAGGCCTAGGGTTTTTGCAGTCCGCTGTTAGAGTCCTTACATTCACTCCCTACTCCGCTGAACCCTGCACCCCAAACCCAGTAAAAAGAAACAAACAATCAAGGTCCTAATGTAGACCCATGATTGATAAACCCCCTCCCCTTAAAGTGGGGTTATAACAATAACAATAATAATAGGGATCCTAATCTTAAGGCCCTTAAAAAAGGAGGGGGTCTATTAATCACGGGTCTACACTAACGCAAGATTGGTTGTTGCATCTTTGGGGGCCTTTTGAGCCCCGGGGTTTCGAGGATTTAAGGTTCCGGGATCGCTACATGTATCGCGTAATTTACTGTTGCTTGAGGGAGAGTGGGGGAGCAGATCCCTATAATGATCTCTATATAATCCCCATGTATACCCCTACACTGGTACCTACATTCACTCCCCCACTCCTCCTGAAGCACCACTCAAGTAAGTCTAGCCCCGGCCTCCTTTCGAAGTCCTAGGTCATATGTTTTGTGGAACAGAGGGGGTGGGGGGCTGCGAAGCATGCATGGTAGGTCATGTAAACACAATCCTAGATTCGAGACCTTGTTTAGGAAGAGGCGGTTTCTGAAGCTATGATATGTTCATGGTTCAGTCGTGCTGTTTGGGGGAACTTTTGCTACCAGGTATTGTTGATCCGTAAAGTCCTGCGCAACTTTCGCGGTTCCTAAATTAGAGTCTTACAGGGTTTTGTTCATCAACCGTATGCACGCTGAATAGTGATATCTTCATTTTTCGTACTGGCAGGTCGAGGAGGAGGAGGAAGAGGAGGAAATGGACTTCGACCTTTTCGGATGAAGGCTGCCCGCAGATGGCTTGCAATTCGTTCAGGACTTGGTGCGGGTTTAGATGGGGAGAGGATTTGAAATTGAGGGGCAAAGGGTTTTAGTAGCGGAGAGTGATGGCTTCCAGGGATATGGCATGGATAGAACTGGGATAGGCTGTTGAGCTCCCTCCTCAGCTTTCCTTAAGTAGGGTCGGAGCTAAGTGAGGCTTTGAACTAGGTTTAGGGCTAAATCCTTACCTTTGACTTTTTGAGAAAGGTAATTCCCAATTTGAACAAAAAGGTTGAGAACTTCAGGTGTTGGCGCAGAGTTCAGGTTGCATGATTTTGTACCTGGGTAGGAAAACACTAAAGTTGTAAGTTATGACCAGGTCACAGCCTAAATTCCCTATAGCCCTATAGTTGCTGGTATGGATAACACTGCTGGTTCACAATATACCTAGCCAGTTTTGTACAGGGCCATTGCTTTGAATTCCTTGGATTCCTGCAGGGCGCTGTCCAACGTTTTGGCAGGTAAGGGATCAAAACCCTAAACCGTAAACCCTGAACCCTAAACCCTGAACCGCAAACCCTGAACCCTGAACCCTAAACCC